ATATGAAGGTTTGGGGAGAGATTTTCCCTAAGGAGACTCAGGGACAAATCTTCCCTGCAGCAAACCATCAGACAAAAGCTCCTTAGGATAGCAATAGCCCTTAGACTTATATACCACTTCACAGTGCTTTTACAGCCCTCTCTAAGTGGTTTACAGAGTCAGCAATCTTGCCCCCAACAATCTGGGTCCTCATTTTACCGACCACGGAAGGATGAAGGCTGAGTCGGCCTTGAGCCAATCAGGATCGAACTGCTGGCAGTCGGCAGAGTTAGCCTGCAATACTGGATTCTAATACTCGGCACCATGGAAGAAAGGAAGGAAGGAAGGAAGGAAGGAAGGAAGGAAGGAAGGAAGGAAGGAAGGAAGGAAGGAAGGAAGGAAGGAGAAAAGGGAGGGAGAGAAAGAAGGAAGGAAGGAGAAAAGGGAGGGAGAGAAAGAAGGAAGGGAGGGAAGGAACGACTAGCTCTTAGACTTATATACCGCTTCACTGTGCTTTTACAGCCCTCTCTAAGCGGTTTACAGAGTCAGCCTCTTGCCCCCAACAATCTGGGTCCTCATTTTACCCACCTTGGAAGGATGGAAGGCTGAGTCAACCTTCAGCCAGGGAGGACCGAACTGCTGGCAGTGGGCAGAGTTAGCCTGCAATACTGCATTCTAACCACAAGGAAGGAAGGGAGGGAGAGAGGGAGGGAGGGAGGGGCATAACGCCTGAACTTAATGTAGAATGTGTAAATCCGTAGCATCAGAGCGTGTTAGGCGGGAGGGGGAGGTGAGCTTGGTTGTTTTCTTGCAGATGTTTTACGTAGGGAAGTAGGGAAGGTCCCCACCCCCAAGCCGGATGACTCATGTGCTGGCCACGCCCAAGCCCATCTTAGCGAACGGGTAGCATCAGAGCGTGTTAATATAAGGCAACTGGCAGTTGGAACAGAGTTCTTTTCAGGTGGGGCCGGGGAGTAGAACGTCTAACTCCTTAACATCAGAGCATGTGAATATAATACTGTATATGGAATACTAATGATCTGATGGTCATTTTGAAAAATCCTTTCTTAGCGAGCACCTAGAAGCCATACGTGCCAAATTTCAAGTTTGTACACTTTACAGTTCTGGAGATTTCATGATTATGCTTTTTTCGCTTTTATATATATAGATACACACACACACAGAGGTATTCTCTTTACATATAATAAGTGCATAATGCACTGTCTGAGTTGTTTGTTTACATAATAATACTTCTTAAATTCCTAATAACCTAATTTCTACCCCAGTTGTCCAACCATGGATAAAATAAGTCCCAAGTTTGAAAATATTCTGTGTCTTCTTTTTCTTTTAACTTTAGTGTTAGTCTGTCTGTCCATTTCTGCACAGTCCAATATTTTTTAAACTATTCGTAGGTGTTTCGTCACATTTCCAATGTTGTGCAAATACAATTCTTGCTGCTGTTAAAACATGTAATATCAAATATGTATTCCCTTTATCATATTTTTCTGGTATTATGCCTAACAGAAATAGTTCTGGCTTAAAATCTATAGGCTGTCTTAACATTTTTACCAGCATTTTTGCACAATTTTTTTTTTGTGCTTTTGGGCATGTTTACCACAAGTGATAGTATGTGCCTGGTTTCTGATTACATTCCCAGCATCTGGTGGACACATTTTTAAACATTTTTGCTAATCTTGCCGGTGGTTAAGTGCTGTCTTTCTTAGCCCTGGAAATTCTGCTCCCGTTTGTGGTCATAAGGAAAGGATTTCCTGTAGGAAGGGAGCAGTGGTGGGTTTCAAAATTTTTTACTACCGGTTCTGTGGGTGTGGCTTAGTGGGTGTGGCATGGCTTGGTGGGCGTGGCTTGGTGGGCATGGCAAGGGAAGGATACTGTAAAATATCCATTCCCTCCCAAACCAGGGGAAGGATACTGCAAAATCTCCATTCCCACCCCACTTCAGGGGAAGGATACTGTAAAATCTCCATTCCCTCCCCACTCCAGGAGAAGGATACTGTAAAATCTCCATTCCCTCCCCACTTCAGGGGAAGGATACTGTAAAATCTCCATTCCCTCCCCAATCCAGTTGAAGGATACTGTAAAATCTTCATTCCTCCCCACTCCAGGGGAAGGATACTGCAAAATCTCCATTCCCACCCCACTTCAGGGGAAGGATACTGCAAAATCTCCATTCCCACCCCACTTCAGGGGAAGGATACTGCAAAATCCCCATTTCCTCCCGATCAGCTGGGACTTGGGAGGCAGAGAATAGATGGGGGCAGGGCCAGTCAGAATTTTTACTACCGGTTCTCCGAACTACTCAAAATTTCCGCTACCGGTTCTCCAGAACTGGTCAGAACCTCCTGAAACCCACCTCTGGAAGGGAGGCTTATTCCCAATTTCAACCCCTTGCAGAAAAGAAAGCTACGCGTGTTCAGAATGCATTAAAATCCCGGTATTCCAATTGTGGCCGTAATTCGAGGAGTACCATGTTTCCCCAAAAATAAGACCTCCCCGGATAATAAGCCCAATCGTGCTTTTGAGTACATGTGCTAAAATAAGCCCTCCCTGAAAATAAGCCCTCCCCAAAAATATTTAAACGCATGTGCAGCCGGTCCCCGCCATTTCCTCTGGCTAGGGTTAGGGAGACAGAGCTGGAAATCAGGTAAGACGGCAAGAGGAGCTCCGTCTTGCTCCATGCGCCCCAAAATAATAAGACCTCACCGAAAATAAGGCCAAGCGCTTATTTCGGGGTTCAAAAAAATATAAGACAGGGTCTTATTTTCGGGGAAACACGGTAGCTACACTCTTGTAAGAGGCAAAGATCCTGTAGTACAGTGGACTAAAGCACTGTTATTAACATCTGCTGCCTGCAATTACTGCAAGTTCAAATCTCACCAGGCTCAAGGTTGACTCAGCCTTCCATCCTTTCAAAGGTAGGTAAAATGAGGACCCGGATTGTGGGGGGCGATAAGCTGACTTTGTATAAATATACAAAAGAATGAAGGCTATTGCTTAACGCATTGTAAGCCGCCCTGAGTCTCCGGAGAAGGGTGGCATATAAATCAAATTTTTTAAAAAAAGGAAAAAAAGAGAAAGAAAGAGAAGGAAGGAAGGAAGGAAGGAAGGAAGGAAGGAAGGAGAGAAAGAAAGAAAGAAAGAAAGAAAGAAAGAAAGAAAGAAAGAAAGAAAGAAAGAAAGAAAAGCTGACTTTGTATAAATATACAAAAGAATGAAGGCTATTGCTTAACGCATTGTAAGCCGCCCTGAGTCTCCAGAGAAGGGCGGCATATCAATTAAAGCAAAAAATAAAAATAAAAAATGCTCAGGATAAGTCCTAGTTTTAACGGCCAGGGAGGATGAACTTCATATTCAGCCCTGGATTTCAGAGAGCCAAGAGCTCCGGTGTTTCCAAAGCAAATTGTCTGTGGACCCTTTCTTTAAATTAACTCAGCGGCGGTAGAAATCACCCGAAAGAGAGTTTTAAGAAAGACTGCAGGTATTTAGAGAGAGATTTCACAGTGTGAACTCTCCAAAACCCTGCGCCTGGCAGTCGGGCTTGGTGCTCTCCCATGCCCTCTGCTGCTGGGAGAGGAGAGGCATGGCCTTGCCAAGCTCGTAAGAAAGTCATCTACGCCCAAAATAAACGAGCCGCGAGACTCATTAGAGATGGACTTTGAAGGAAAGAGGAACGTTAGTTTGAGGAAGGGCAAAAAAAATCACAGTTGCCAACGATGGCAGTCCAGGCTCTGCTAAGAGGCAAGTCCCGTGGAATATTATTGTATTCTGTTTTGGCCGCCACGCTATTAAAAAAAAAAGATGCTGAGACTCTAAAACAGTGATGGCGAACCTATGGCACGCGTGCCCAAAGTGGCACCTGAAGCCATGTCGCCTGGCGTGCCCGGCATCGCCCATTCCTCTTCCGGGTTTCTGGCGCACGCATGCGCACTGACAACGTTGGAAGCAGGGGTGAAATGCTCCCGGTTCGGACCGGATCGCCTGATCCGGTAGCGATGGAGGCGGGTGGTTCGGAGAACTGGTAGCAAAAATCCCTGCCCCCACCCCCATGCCCAGCTGAGCCGCACGATCATCAGAGGCTTTTTTTCTTTTAAATGCCTCTGATGATCCAAGCTGATTTGCCTGATCGGCAGAGGCTTTTTTAGAAAGAGGCAACTCAGCTTGGATCGTCAGGCATCGAACTGGGTATGTCTAGTTTAATGAAAAGAAGGACCAGGGGAGTCATGATAGCAGTCTTCCAATATCTCAAGGGCTGCCCCAAAGAAGAGGGAGTCAAGCTATTCTCCAAAGCCCCTGAGGGCAGGACAAGAAGCAATGGGTGGGAATTCATCAAGGAAAGAAGCAACCTAGAACTAAGGAGAAGTTTCATGACAGTGAGAACAATTAATCACTGGAACAACTGGCCTCCAGAAGTTGTGAATGCTCCAACACTGGAAATTTTTAAGAAGATGTTGGATAACCATTTGTCTGAAGTGGTGTAGGGTTTCCTGCCTAAGCAGGGGGTTGGACTAGAAGACCTCCAAGGTCCCTTCCAACTTCTATTAGGAACACAACGATGGTTAGGAAGCCAGGGAGATAAATTCTGCGAGAAAGTTTCTGGTACGACACCGAGTCTTCAGGAGTGAAATGACTTCTAAAGGAAAAGATAAGCCAAGGGCTGTCTTGACTGACGGGACATGTTCCTGCAGGTTCGTACACCATCGTTGGAGGTCTTCAAGAAAAGACTGAACAGCCGTTTGTCCGGGATGCAACCAGATCTCCTGCCTTGATCAGGGGATTGAACTAGAAGACCTCCAAGGTTCCTTCCAACCCTGGGATTCTAGATCACCAAAGCAGAACATCAACATGGCTTCCTAGAGCAGAGATCTCCAACCTTCGCAACGTTAAGACTTATGGACTTCAACTCCCAGAATTCCCCAGCCAGCCAGCCAGCATGGTACAGTAGCCAACCTGCAACATGGCTGGCTGAGGAATTCTGGGAGTTGAAGTCTATAAGTCTTAAGGTTGGGGATCCCTGTCCTAGAGGGAGGAGATAGAGCAAACTCTGGCTTACCTTAAGATACAGAAGCAGGTCTTGGCCCCCGAGGACAAACGGCAGAAGCCGAACCTCTGTTTGCTGTCGATATCCGTGAGGACAAACGTGAAGTTCTGTCCCACTTGTCCCACCGTGAGGCTGGAAGTGAAAAGAAGGAAGGTGTCAATGAATAGGCTGTTGCCTTCAACCTTGCAAAGTCTTTAAACCAAGGGGTGTCCAACCTTGGCGACTTGAAGACTTGTGGGCTTCAACTCCCAGAATCCCTCAGGCTGAAGACTTGTGGGCTTCAATTCCCAGAATCCCCCAGGCTGAAGATTTGTGGACTTCAACTCCCAGAATCCCCCAGGCTGAAGACTTGTGGACTTCAATTCCCAATTTGTGGCCTTCAACTCCCAGAATCCCTCAGGCTGAAGACTTGTGGGCTTCAACTCCCAGAATCCCTCAGGCTGAAGGCTTGGGCCTTCAACTGCCAGAATTCCCCAGGCTGAAGGCTTGTGGCCTTCAATTCCCAACTTGTGGCCTTCAACTCCCAGAATTCCTCAGGCTGAAGGCTTGTGGCCTTCAATTCCCAGAATCCCCCAGGCTGAAGGCTTGTGGCCTTCAACTGCCAGAATCCCCCAGGCTGAAGGCTTGTGGCCTTCAATTCCCAGAATCCCCCAGGCTGAAGGCTTGTGGCCTTCAATTCCCAACTTGTGGCCTTCAACTCCCAGAATCCCCCAGGCTAAAGATTTGTGGACTTCAATTCCCAGAATCCCCCAGGCTGACGGCTTGTGGCCTTCAATTCCAACTTGTGGCCTTCAACTCCCAGAATTCCTCAGGCTGAAGGCTTGTGGCCTTCAATTCCCAGAATCCCCCAGGCTGAAGGCTTGTGGACTTCAATTCCCAACTTGTGGTCTTCAACTCCCAGAATCCCTCAGGCTGAAGACTTGTGGACTTCTATTTCTATTCTATTCTATTCTATTCTATTCTATTCTATTCTATTCCATTCTATTCTATTCCATTCCATTCCATTCCATTCCTAATTCTATTTCTATTCTGTTCTGTTCCATTCCTAATTCTATTTTTATTTCTATTCTATTCTATTTCTACATTATTCTATTCTATTCCATTCCATTCCATTCCATTCTTTACTCTCCATTCCATTTCTATTTCTATTTCATTCCATTCCTATTTGATTCTATTCTATATTAAAACAACATATTTTAGAAACCAAGCCAACAGAAGTTTTCGGTTCAATTTCCTTTCTTCCAACGGCAGAAACAATATTCTGGAGTCACTGCTGGGTCCTCTCCTCCCTCGCGAAGGGGGAAATATATATATATCTCCGGTGTGCAGCGAGCGTGGAATGAATAGTAGAGAAAGCTACGGCTGGATAAAAGCCATGTACGTACGCAAGGGCCCTGTAATTAGTAAAGGATATGACTCCTAGCAGCTTGATTCCTCTTTCCTAAATAACAGTTTGTTTTATACCCTGAGAAGAGCCGATTACTTGCAGCCGGCGTTTCCTGAGCGGCGTGCAGAGGAGGAAAATACATAATGGGTATTTTAATGTCTTTGGCGGCTTTGCCGACGTTTTTCCATGAATGCTGCCTTCCCCCAGCATGGGAAAATTACAGCCCTGAGTTACCCCGGGGGGGGGGGGGGGGGACGGGACTGGGAGACCCCCACTTTGCACCCTATAGAAGAGCGGAGGTGGGTGGATTCGGAAGACTATGCAACCCAAGAAGGAGCGGGGTTGCTGGAGAAAGAATTGAGCGCCGAGCCCACGAAGCCTTCAGGTAGGGGCGCTACGATGCCCAGCCCCTTGTGCGCTTGTCCTCCTCCTCACGGTTCTTGAAGATCCTCCCAAAAAGACACAAGTTGTGGGTCTTTTCTGGGAGGATATTTGGGAGGAACCCAAGGAGTGAAGCGGAGAAAAACCCATCCAGCTCCAGCTTTCCAGAAAGCCTTTTTTCACCACGATGTTCTTCTACCCTCTTTCGCAAACTTCTTCAGATGTTCTTCTCCCGCACTGAAGGGGCCAAAGCTTAGCCCTGGACACAGGAGATGTCATTCTTCCCGTCCCATTTCAGAAGAGTCTCCCCCATCCCTGGCATCCGAGCGTGCCACTTCTTCAAGGTGTGGTGGGCTCCAGAGGCATTCCAATCCATTCTTTACTCTCCATTCTATTTCTATGTCTACATTATTCTATTCTATTCTGTTTCAATTTCTATTCTATTCTATTCCAATTTCTCTTCTCTTCTCTTCTGTTATTCTATTCTTTTCTGTAATTCTATTATATTCTGTTATTCTATTCTATAATTCTACACTATTCTAATCTTATTTTATTCTATTCTAGTCCAGTCCAGTCCAGTCCTTATTCCATTCCATTCCATTCAGTTCCGTTCCATTCTGTTCTACATTCTGTTCTATATTCTGTATTCTATTCTATTCTATTCTATTCTAGTCTAGTCTAGTCTAGTCTAGTCTAGTCTAGTCTAGTCTAGTCTAGTCTATTCTGTTATTATATTCTATAATTCTACTCTATTCTACTCTTATTTTATTCTATTCCAGTCCAGTACAATCCTTACTCCATTCCATTCCATTCCGTTCTGTATTCTGTATTCTGTATTCTGTATTCTGTATTCTGTATTCTATTCTATTCTATTCTATTCTATTCTATTCTACTCTACTCTACTCTACTCTACTCTATTCTATTCTGTTATATATTCTATAATTCTACTCTATTCTACTCTTATTTTATTCTATTCCAGTCCAGAACAGTCCTTATTCCATTCCATTCTCTTCTACATTCTGTTCTCTATTCTATTCTATTCTAGTCTAGTCTAGTCTAGTCTAGTCTAGTCTAGTCTAGTCTAGTCTAGTCTAGTCTAGTCTAGTCTGTTATTATATTCTATAATTCTACTCTATTCTACTCTTATTTTATTCTATTCCAGTCCAGTACAATCCTTACTCCATTCCATTCCGTTCTGTATTCTGTATTCTGTATTCTGTATTCTATTCTATTCTATTCTATTCTATTCTATTCTATTCTACTCTACTCTACTCTACTCTACTCTACTCTACTCTACTCTAGTCTAGTCTGTTATTATATTCTATAATTCTACTCTATTCTACTCTTATTTTATTCTATTCCAGTCCAGTACAATCCTTATTCCATTCCATTCTGTTCTACATTCTGTATTCCGTATTCCGTATTCCGTATTCTATTCTATTCTATTCTATTCTATTCTATTCTATTCTATTCTATTCTATTCTATCCTATCCTATCCTATCCTATCCTATCCTATCCTATCCTATCCTATCCTATCCTATTATTCTATTCTATTCTATCCTATCCTATCCTATCCTATCCTATCCTATCCTATCCTATCCTATCCTATCCTATCCTATCCTATCCTATCCTATCCTATCCTATTATTCTATTCTATCCTATCCTATCCTATCCTATCCTATTATTCTATTCTATTCTATTCTATTCTATTCTATTCTATCCTATCCTATCCTATTCTATTATTCTATCCTATCCTATCCTATCCTATCCTACCCTATCCTATTATTCTATTCTATTCTATTCTATTCTATTCTATTCTATCCTATCCTATCCTATCCTATTATTCTATTCTATTCTATTCTATTCTATTCTATTATTCTATTCTATTCTATCCTATCCTATTCTATTATTCTATTCTATCCTATCTATCCTATCCTATCCTATCCTATCCTATCCTATCCTATTATTCTATTCTGTTCTGTTCTGTTCTGTTCTGTTCTGTTCTGTTCTGTTCTGTTCTGTTCTGTCCTGTCCTGTCCTATCCTATCCTATCCTATCCTATCCTATTCTATTATTCTATCCTATCCTATCCTATCCTATCCTATTATTCTATTCTATTCTATTCTATTCTATTCTATTCTATTCTATTCTATTCTATTCTATTCTATTCTATTCATTCTGTTCTCTTCTCTTCTCTCCCACAGAAAGTAAGAGAAAACACTTCAGCAGGATCATTTATTTATTCCTCCTTGTCTCCCTCTTATTGAATCTACCTGCCCCGTAGCGACACTAAACTCCACTCCTTGCAGCCACCCGCACAATTTTGACGCAAGACATTGCAGCAAAGACATCAATGCCACACAATAATGAAGAGAAGCCAAAAGAGCGTTTGACAACGAAGAAGGACGGAGAAGAAAGGGAGAGTTATGGACAATTGCTGGAAATCACCCACCCATTTTGGGCAACGATGTTTGCAAGGAGCAAATTCAAAACTCTTAAATTCGTTGCAAATCACCTCATTTGCAGAATTACCCACCCAAAAAAACCAAACAAAACCACAGTTGTTAAAAACTACACAACTTTAACAGCAGAATGTAAATAATTTCTAAGACAATGTTGCAGGAAGGGGGAAAAAAGGAAATAGATTTGGCTTCAGATAATACAATTTAAAAAAAAAAATTAAACACTTCACTAAAAATCCTTTTAAAAGAGGTTTAGGCAGAGCCTTAAGAATGACCTGATCTTTATTATCTGGCACAGTTTTATTCTTTCTTTCTTTCTTTCTTTCTTTCTTTCTTTCTTTCTTTCTTTCTTTCTTTCTTTCTTTCTTTCTGATAACGTCTCTAGGAACTCAACCTTCACTAAAGATCCTTTTAAAACAGGTTTAGGAAGAGCCTTAAGAATGACCTGATCCTTATTATCTGGCACAATTTTATTCTTTCTTTCTTTCTTTCTTTCTTTCTTTCTTTCTTTCTTTCTCTTTCTTTCTTTCTTTCTTTCTTTCTTTCTTTCTGATAATGTCTCTAGGAACTCAACCTTCACTAAAGATTCTTTTAAAAGAGGTTTAGGAAGAACCTTAAGAATGACCTGATCTTTATTATCTGGCATAATCTTTCTTTCTTTCTTTCTTTCTTTCTTTCTTTCTTTCTTTCTTTCTTTCTTTCTTCTTTCTTTCTGATAACGTCTCTAGGAACTCAACCTTCACTAAAGATTTTTTTAAAACAGGTTTAGGAAGAGCCTTAAGAATGACCTGATCTTTATTATCTGGCACAATTTTCTTTTCTTTCTTTCTTTCTTTCTTTCTTTCTTTCTTTCTTTCTTTCTTTCTTTCTTTCTGATAACATCTCTAGGAACTCAACCTTCACTAAAGATTTTTTTAAAACAGGTTTAAGAAGAGCCTTAAGAATGACCTGATCTTTATTATCTGGCACAATTTTATTCTTTCTTTCTTTCTTTCTTTCTTTCTTTCTTTCTTTCTTTCTTTCTTTCTTTCTTTCTGATAACATCTCTAGGAACTCAACCTTCACTAAAGATTTTTTTAAAACAGGTTTAGGAAGAGCCTTAAGAATGACCTAATCTTTATTATCTGGCACAATTTCTTTCTTTCTTTCTTTCTTTCTTTCTTTCTTTCTTTCTTTCTTTCTTTCTTTCTTTCTTTCTTTCTTTCTTTTATAACGTCTCTAGGAACTCAACCTTCACTAAAGATTCTTTTAAACAGGTTTAGGAAGAGCCTTAAGAATGACCTGATCCTTATTATCTGGCACAATTTCTTTCTTTCTTTCTTTCTTTCTTTCTTTCTTTCTTTCTTTCTTTCTTTCTTTCTTTCTGATAACGTCTCTAGGAACTCAACCTTCACTAAAGATCCTTTTAAAAGAGGTTTAGGAAGAACCTTAAGAATGACCTGATCTTTATTATCTGGCATAATCTTTCTTTCTTTCTTTCTTTCTTTCTTTCTTTCTTTCTTTCTTTCTTTCTTTCTTTCTTTCTTTCTTTCTTTCTTTCTTTCTTATAACGTCTCTAGGAACTCAACCTTCACTAAAGATTCTTTTAAACAGGTTTAGGCAGAGCCTTAAGAATGACCTGATCCTTATTATCTGGCACAATTTTATTCTTTCTTTCTTTCTTTCTTTCTTTCTTTCTTTCTTTCTTTCTTTCTTTCTTTCTTTCTTTCTTTCTTTCTTTCTTTCTTTCTGATAATGTCTCTAGGAACTCAACCTTCACTAAAGATCCTTTTAAAAGAGGTTTAGGAAGAACCTTAAGAATGACCTGATCTTTATTATCTGGCATAATCTTTCTTTCTTTCTTTCTTTCTTTCTTTCTTTCTTTCTTTCTTTCTTCCTTCCTTCCTTCCTTCCTTTTCTTTCTTTCTTCTTTCTCTCTCTCTCTCTCACTCTTTCTTTCTTTCTTTCTTCTTTCTCTCTCTCTCTCTCTCTCTCTTTCTTTCTTCTTTCTCTCTCTCTCTCTCTCTTTCTTTCTTTCTTTCTTTCTTCTTTCTTTCTTTCTCTCTCTCTCTCTCTCTTTCTTCTTTCTTTCTTTCTTTCTTTCTTTCTTTCTTTCTTTCTTTCTTTCTTTCTGATAACATCTCTAGGAACTCAACCTTCACTAAAGATCCTTTAAAAGAGGTTTAGGAAGAACCTTAAGAATGACCTGATCTTTATTATCTGGCATAATCTTTCTTTCTTTCTTTCTTTCTTTCTTTCTTTCTTTCTTTCTTTCTTTCTTTCTTTCTTCCTTTTCTTTCTTTCTTCTTTCTCTCTCTCTCTCTCACTCTTTCTTTCTTTCTTTCTTCTTTCTCTCTCTCTCTCTCTCTTTCTTTCTTTCTTCTTTCTCTCTCTCTCTCTCTCTTTCTTTCTTTCTTTCTTTCTTCTTTCTTTCTTTCTCTCTCTCTCTCTCTCTTTCTTCTTTCTTTCTTTCTTTCTTTCTTTCTTTCTTTCTTTCTTTCTTTCTTTCTTTCTTTCTTTCTTTCTTTCTTTCTGATAACATCTCTAGGAACTCAACCTTACCTGTCCACGTAGAAAGGGAAACAGAACTTGGCCACCGTGGGCAGAATTTCCTGCGGAGAGAAGAGAAGGGCGAGAGAGGGAGGGAGGGGGGGTGGGGAGGAGAGAGATAATTTAATCCTCCGAAGGGACCAATAAATCTGACGTTAACCACACAGAAACAGCAATCTCGCAAACTCTGCCCCGCAGAAAGCAGAGACAGACGAAGAGAAATATGCTTTATCAATTACACGGAAGGAGAAGGAGCCGCCAGTCAATCATGTGTGAGAACAAACATGATCAAACTTCATTAAAAATGAAAAATTAATCAAGAGTCACACATGGGTAAGCAGTGGGGGGGGGAGCCGCCGCGGCAACCCTGGGTAGGGGGGGGGAAGCGATGGGGCTGGCCTAGCGCTAAGTCGCCTCCGGGGAGGCTCTCTGACCCCAACATATGGTGACCAGCAATGCCACCAGGACTAGTGACGGGGATCTTTGGCCTCCTCCTCCTCCTCCTCCTCCCCCCTCGTATCCTAGGAACCAGGTTGGCCGAGAGGGGAAACAGCTTCCCTTAGAAGGAAAGCATGTAGAAACTTTTCTACATATCTTCCACTCCGTCTTCCTTCCTTCCTTCCTTCCTTCCTTCCTTCCTTCCTTCCTTCCTTCCTCCGTCATCCCCTTTGCCTTCCTTCCTTCCGTCCCCTCTTTTCCTTCTTTCCATGCCCTTTGCCTTCCTTCTTTCCTTCCCTCGTCTCATCTCTTTTTCTTCCCTCCCTTCTACCCATTCACTTCTTTCTCCTCCCTCCCTCCATTCCTTCCTTCCCTCTCTCTCTTTCTCCTTCCTTCCTGTCATCCCCTTTGCCTTCCTTCCTTCCCCTCTTTTCCTTCCTTCCATCCCCTTTTCCTTCTTTTTCTTCCCTCCTTCCCTTTTTCATCTTTTTCTTCCCTCCCTTCTACCCATCCACTTCTTTCCCCTCCCTCCCTTCCTCCCTTCTTTCCTGTCATCCCCTTTTCCTTCCTTCCCCTCTTTTCCTTCCTTCCATCCCCTTTGCCTTCCTTCTTTCTTTCCCTCATCTCATCTCTTTTTCTTCCCTCCCTTCTACCCATTCACTTCTTTCTCCTCCCTCCCTCCATTCCTTCCTTCCCTCTCTCTTTCTCCTTCCTTCTTTCCTGTCATCCCCTTTTCCTTCCTTCCTTCCCCTCTTTTCCTTCCTTCCATCCCCTTTTCCTTTTCTTCCTTCCTTCCCTCGTCTCCTCTCTTTTTCTTCCCTCCCTTCTACCCATCCACTTCTTTCCCCACCCTCCATCCCTTCCTTCCTTCCCTCTCTTCCTTCCTTCCTTCCTGTCATCCCCTTTGCCTTCCTTCCCCTCTTTTCCTTCCTTCCATCCCCTTTTCCTTCCTTTTCTTCCCTCCTTCCCTCGTCTCATCTCTTTTCCTTCCCTCCCTTCTACCCATCCATTCCTTTCTCCTCTCTCCCTCCATTCCTTCCCTTCCCTCTCTCCCTTTCTCTTTCCTTCCTTCCCTCTGTTAGTTTCCTTCCCCCCACCCTCCCTTTCCTTCTTACCTTTTCCCTTCCCTCCCTCCCTCTCTCTCTCCTCCCTTCTTTTCCTCCCTCCCTCCCTTCCCCTTCCTTCCTTCCTTCCCTTCCCTTCCTCTTCCTTTCCTTCCTCCCTCCCTCCCTCTTCCTTCCCAAAACCAACCTTAGCACACTTGTTAAAATTACCCATTGATCTCCGTAATACAGAGCTTTTTCCGGACCAGTAATAATAAATTGTGTGCTCGCGGAACGGATGCTGCATGCTTCATTTATTTTTAAATCCCCCTCCATTATTTAACAAACAAGCCACATCAATCTAATCGTCCATTTAATGGTGCTGGAAACATATCGACAGTCTGGCAATCCCACCACCCAAACCATTCGATCACGGCTGCCCCATTCCTTCATGCTTGCAAAGTCAAACGCTCCCTCCTCAAATGAGCTGGGGGGCTTCCAGAGATGGGGAGGTGGGTGAGAGGAGAGGAGGAGGGAAAACAAGCCACGTTCAAAGGACCTGGGTTTAAAGATTTGGTGGGTGATGCAGAATATTCTTAAAAAGAGACTGAAATTTACTCCACAGTTGTTCTTACTGGGTATACCTACGGACTGTACAGTTGCAGAGACTAAACTGATTTTGAACTTGATAACAGCAGCAAGATGGTTGGTAGCACAACATTGGAAGAAGGACTTTTTGCCTACTATTGATGATTGGATATTGAAAGTAACTAATTTAGCTGAAATGGCTAAAATTTCAGCATATCTGAAGGATCACACACAAGAAAGGTATATACAGGACTGGAGAAGATGGATTGATTATATACAAAATAAGTATCAGACCAAAAAATATCAAATAGCTTATGAATGATCTCTTTTATTTGTATAAGCGCTATATAAGTGATATTAGAAGTATTATGTTTAAGAAATAGGATTTTATATATGGGGGGGTTAAGAATTTTTTTTAGGGGGTGTTAGTTTAATGATTGGTTATGCAATTTAGTTTATTGTTAAAGGTTAATAGAAATACCTTGTGTTCTGCTCTGGGAAGTCGGGGAGGGGGAGGGGGGTTGGGAGGGAGGGTCGTGGGGAAATTGTGTTTGTTTTAAAACTTTTTCAATAATAAAAAAAAAAGGACCTGGGCTTTAACAAAATAGTTAAAAACAAGAAAAAGGGGGAGAAAGGAACGTACGTTTGCTACCAAAACTGGCCCTTGCAGAGTTCATAATCGCTCTTTAGGAAAACGAGAAGCGGTTTTAGACAGCAGAATAGATTGCTTACGACGGCTTGCAACGCGCGTGGGATCCAGCCAAAAAAACCCCAAATCTATTATGGGATCTCAAAACTCCCTGCCACTGGAATTTGAACACAGTTTGAATTATTCACAGGAAAAGATGCACTTGGCAGATGCATTTGTTTTCTTTTCAGTTATTTATTTGGGATATTTGCATTGCCGCCTATTCACCCGGGGCGGCTCAGGAACTTCCAGAGCATTTTAACGTTCAATATTTTCCTATTTTCAGCTACTTTAGAGCCGGTTTTGGACACGAAGCATGTCACACACAAAAAAAGATGGTGTCTAATACTCTTTAAAATATAATAATAATAATAATAATAATAATAATAATAATAATAATACCCAAATACCCAAAGGGTTACCCCGCTATTTAGAAATTCTAAATTTGCCGGACTTGAACATTTTGACTCTACAAAAAACCACCTTACTCGGAACAGCTTACATCCTCCGACGATACCTTAACAGTTCCTAGGTCCTTGGTTAGGATTCGAGCTGCTGAGCTATTAACCAGCCTCAAAGGCTGCGAATCTCACCAAAGATTAACCAATAATAATAATAATAATACTGAGGACTCGGGCAGAACTGAAACTTTTCTGAAGTTTTCAGAGGTGTTACTGAGCTTATAGGCTACAGAAGAAACAGATTTGGAAGGGACCTTGGAGGTCTTCTAGTCCAACCCCCTGCTTAAGCAGGAAACCCTACACCACTTCAGACAAATGGTTATCCAACCTCTTCTTAAAAACTTCCAGTGTTGGAGCATTTACAACTTCTGGTGGCAAGAAGTTCCACTGATTAATTGTTCTCACCGTCAGGAAGTTTCTCCTTAGTTCTAAGTTGCTTCTCTCCTTGATTAGTTTCCACCCATTGCTTCTTGTCCTGCCCTCAGGTGCTTTGGAGAATAGTTTGACTCCCTCTTTTTTGGGGCAGCCCCTGAGATATTGGAAGACTGCTGTCATGTCTCCCTTAGTCCTTCTTTTCATTAAACTAGACATTAAAGTAGACTACGCCGGATGCGAAAGTATATCTCTTAAAAAGGTAGAGGTCTTCTTCAAGTCAATTTTCCCCTCCTTGGTATCTTTAGGAACAGGTCCCCCTGGTGTTCTTGGTGGAACATTTAATGGAAGTGAGAAGCAACGGGTGAAAACTAATCAAGGAGAGAAGCAACTTAGAACTAAGGAGAAATTTCCTGACAGTGAGAACAATTAATCAGTGGAACAACTTGCCTCCAGAAGTTGTGAATGCTCCAACACTGGAAGTTTTTTAAGAAGATGTTGGATAGCCATTTGTCTGAAGTGGTGTAGGGTTTCCTGCCTAAGCAGGGGGTTGGACTAGAAGACCTCCGAGGACCCTTCCGACTCTGTTATTCTGTTCTGTTATCCTTCTTTCTGAACGTGTCTTTACTTCTTCTAGTCCACACATTGGAGATGTCCTAGGGGGTCACCACAGAAGTCCAAATCCTGTGCAAGTCTGCTCACCATGCGGTTTCATCTAATCAGATTGCTTCCAATCTCCCAGGATGCAGCAAATTGTGGCTGTTAGGATATGGTTTGAGCCTAACAAGTTGTCCAGGCAATATATGTGTTCTGTGAGTTGAAGGAAGGAAGGAAGGAAGGAAGGAAGGAAGGAAGGAAGGAAGGAAGGAAGGAAAGAAAGAAAGAAAGAAAGAAAGAAAGAAAGAAAGAAAGAAAAGCTGACTTTGTATAAATATACAAAAGGATGAAGGCTATTGCTTAACGCATTGTAAGCCGCCCTGAGTCTCCGGAGAAGAGCGGCATATAAATCAAATTTAAAAAAAAAAAAAATCTCTTCTTGAAAACTTCCAGTGATGGAGCAGCCACAACTCCTGGAGGCAACTTCTGTTCCACGGATTAATTGTTCTCAATGTCAGGAAGTTTCTCCTTCATTTAGTTCTAGGTTGCTTCTCTCCTTGATCAGTTTCCACTGAATTTCTTCCACACCACTACGCCAAATGAAAGGAAAAGCTATTTTTCCCTCCGAAGGACGCTGTGCTTTCTTAACCCTTGCTCGAATCCCGGCGAACACCAAGTTTATATCTTTTTTTTATTTTTATTTATTTTTACACGCCGTTTCATGTTTTAACATTTTAATGAGCTCTGGGTGATGCGAGACAGGGCAGGGGAAATCCATACCAGGCAGCCACTGCCCTTGAAGCACAAAGCGTGGACAGCTCTCTCTCCCCCAGGATCCAGCCCCACCCGTCTCACCCCTGGCCCTCCGATATTTG